CTCAGCAGAGCTGTGTGCACGTAGGCCTCCGTCTTTTGATCGCACCCGGAGTTAGCAGTTGAGCTTAGCTTGCTCTCTTGTCTGTTCCGCGAACTCCAGAGATCAGCTAAATTCCGGGGTGGAAAAGGTGAGAGTGGGATGGAAGGGATTTGGGGCAGGTGCTTCAGGAAAGGCAAGTAAATCCACTGAACTAACAGGGAGAACTCGGGATAAGACCATGTGGTTGTCTTAGGCCTTTTGTGTAAGGGTGTTGCTGAGTGAATAATTTTTGAATCATAGAACAGTTTGGGTTGGAAGGGACCTTAAAGATCATCTAGTTCCAACCCCCCTGCCGTGGGCAGGGACCTGATAATTGTGTTTAACCTTTTTCTGATATTGGAATCAAACAGAGTTTCATCTCTTGAGGCGATTGAGGACTTGGGCTCCCAATATCTAAAAGAATTGATGAAAGCATTGCTTGAGTATCCTGACTCATAAGTCTTTCTTGGGTAAAGCTCTTCAGCTCAGGAAACAGAACTCTCTCAGGGCTGGCCAAAGTGGGAACTAAAAACTTTTTCTGCCTTCTCTTCCAAGTTAAAGATGCATTTCTGTAAAGTAGCCTTTTCTAGTAATTGTAAAACTGTATGCAAGTAGAAAGACTCAGCTTCTCAACTGTAGACTTTTATGTTAACAGGGCTATTATATTTATGTATGATTATCATTAATGTCCTTAGGTGTTTCCAGTAAGGTTACTGATGTCAGGACACCCTTTACAGGAGAGCACAAGGCTTAATGAATTTGTTTGCTTGACTGCAGGAAAAGTCGTCCTAAGTATAATGGCTAATTAGAATATGTGATTTCCAGTGGAAAATACAGATTAAATTGAAGAAAACAAAATGCATTTATATATGTAATTTTCTGATTATTTCAGATCCAAACTTTATTGGCACCATTTTTCAGAATTTATTTTAATGTGACACTTCACATTTCGGTAGTGTAATGCTGTGTTAAGTTCACTTCTGTATGTAGGGAGTTCTGAAATCAGTTGCCTTAAAAAACTAGTCTAGTTGCTGAGAGCGACCTCTGCAGAGTTGCATGCCTTTGGTCATCACCTTCAGCTGCAGCTGTAGTTGTGAAGCCATGTTATATACGTGCATTACTGTTTGCAGTTCTGGATCGAGTTCTGATGATCCTAAAGAAGAGTTGGGAAGGGAGGTTAATTGGTTTTGCTACAGCTGTGAAAGCACATGAATTTCAGAGACTTAAAATAACTTCTTAGTGGTATCCAGAGACAGGACAAGAAGCATCGAGTACAAATTAAACCACAAGAAATTCCATCTTTTTTTGCTGTGAGAGTGGCCAAATACTGGAGTGAATTGTTCAGAGAGGCTGTGGAATAGTAGTCTGTGGAAATGTTCAAAACCAGACTGGACGCGATGCTGGACAACCTGCTTAGGCAGGGAGTTGAGGTAGATGATCTTGAGAAGTCCTTCCAACTTTTATGATGCTGTGAACTAGACTGAGAAAGGACAAATTTGATCATTCTATGCTTGTGTAGTGTAAATTTTTTAAAAAAGATATCAAATGCAGAAATGGCCAGAGTTAGCTTTTCTTTTTCACTTATTTTAAACTGTTTTTAATTTTTTAAATAAACTTTGGTTCACTGTCTATCTTATTGGTGCTTATCAGGAAAAAAAAGTATATGTTAATGATGGGTTTCATAGCTTGGATTAAAAATAAAATCCCTTCTGTGGGCAGTATATTTTTTTTCATTTGGTTGAGAAATTTAACCTGTTTATTATTTTCCATGTTATCACCATGTATGGGCACACAGCAGGGGTTTGGATGGGAACTGATAGAAACCCTCAGAAATCATAGTTAAACACAGACTCTAGGCACAGAATTAATCTTGATAAAAGGGTTTAGTAATTGATCTTTTTCAAATCATAGGATATCTGAGTGAAGATCTAAAGAAATGACACTTTTCTCCACTGGATGGTGCTGCTTGCCTAGAGTTGCATTACTGTCTCCAGCATCATTTTATGAGCAGCCCAGAAGATTGGTGTTAACTTCTGAGCTGAGTTTTTTAACTGGAATATAGTATGTATTTTCCTTTCTTGCTCTTAAGATGTCAATGAACAAATATTTCTGATAAATCATTGACTAAACAGTCTTTTTTATTGTTTGTTTGGAGATGAGAGATGATTTTTATGGTTGCTGTATGTGGCATGAAGTTGTTCCTGGCTTTCTTAAATACTTCTCTAAAGATATGAGCAAGTTCATTTGTTTTCCTGTGTCTAGCTTACCATATTTGAAAATACGAGTGTGTTAACCTGGCAGAAATGTGAGGATTAATTTCATAACATTAGTTCTGAGGTTTGAAATACTTAGAGTAAAAGTGCAGGAAAAGGGAAGATCTCTTAAAATTCCATGCTTGAGAAATCTCTGCGTTAGGTGCCCTTGTGTTTTGTTACTGAGGTCCTCCTGGGAGTGAAGTATCTTAGAGCTCCTCTACAGAGAGATAGGCAGGAAAATTAATAGAAATTAACTTTTAAAGTACATTAGTTGAACTGCATCAAACAACTTAATTTGGAAGTTAAATTCTCACACTCCGTTGACATGGATTACCTCTGCTGTGTAGACAGGTCCTTAGATACCTACAGTAGCTTCACAGTGGTAAAAATTGCATTGAATTTAATTTCTTGGGATTTGCAAAGTGACTACCCGGGGAACTAGTTACAGAGAGCGTAACAGAGTTTGGGCATACTTAAAATGTTGTTATAGTTAGATTTTAAAAAAGGCATTGACCATCCAGTTTTTGGTGACTGAGTGAGGGGAAGTCGATGTTAATCTATAGTTTTTAAACAAAGGGACGAATTAAGAAATATGATTAAAAAGGAGGGCTGCTGCTCGACTGGGCAGCATAACCTCTATTAAATTGCTGCTTTTTATTGTCCTTTATATTGTTTGTTTCACTGTCAGCTGTTTGTTTCACATAAGCAACAGCCAAGGTATTCCATGTTTTTATAGAACTTCTTTTTTGCTGCCAACTTGATAGCTTTTTAATTCATTCCCCTCACAAACCGCTGGGTCCTTAGAAGTCATTTGCATCTTGAGTGAAGGAATATGACAAAGCATGTTAATTGTCCCAAATCCATAGAATGGTTTGGGTTGGAAAGGACCTCAAAGATCATCTACTTCCAACCCCCCTGCCATGGGCAGGGACACCTTCCACTAGATCAGATTGCTGATTACTAGATTCATAGGTCAGTGGTTCAAAAAACTCAATAAATGAGTGAAGTGAGCCACATTACTAAAGGTGCCAGAGTTTTTGTTCTCAGTGGGGCAGTAGGGAACCTTAATTTGCTTGGATGTTTACAATCACAGTCCACAGTGGCACTTCTATTAGCAGCATGGGCATGGCTTGTAGTAGGGGCTTCTCTGAAGGCTGCCTGTTGGAAATAAGTTGTTGCTTTCCTGTAGAGAAGTGAGCCCAGCGAGTGCTGCATCCATTCCTTTCACAACACTCAGTCATTTAACCTACTGTAAAATTTTTTTTTGTGGACTGTTTGGAATTTTATGAAATTCTTTATCAGACTATTACTTTTTATGGGACTGCCACGCAGCGCCTATTTTGAGCTTCAAAGCTTCGGATGTGTGTTTAAAAAAAGCCACCATCATGCATTCTGACAGTACTCGTTCTTCTTTAAGAACGAAACAAAACTGGACAAAAAAAATGAGTCAAACATCCCTGTGATATTCTGTCCCGCTGGCCCAAATCCTAAGTGTTGCATTTTAGGGAA